AGGTTGGGGACACTAAAATCAAACAGATGTGGAAATTTAAATATCTGGGAAGTGTTCTGATAGTAAGTATGATGCTGAGATCTGAAGACATATTGGGATGGCAAAGGCACATTCCAAAAACTAGGTAGAGTATTATGAGACAGGAGGATTTTGTTGGTAACAAAGAAAATAGTGCTGAACTGCTACATGATATCTGTCCTCTCTTATGGCAGTGAATGTTGGATGGTCTCCTCAAAGATGAAGAACTGACTTGAGGCAACAGAGGTATGGTTCTACAGAAGGATGCTAAGGATACCATGGACCAAACATGTGAGCCACAATGAGGTTTTGGAGAGGATGCAAACAAGGAGGAAGGTTATACTCAACATTAGGCAGGTGAAATTTCTGGGACACATAAGAAGAATGGAGGGCTTGGAGAATCTGATACTCACAGGTTTGTGAGAAGTAGCAAAAGGACAAAAAAATATTGAGAACTACAAGGGAGAGGTGGAAGTGGAGAGCCATGATCGCCTATGTCCTGAAGGGGCACAGCATATAAAAGTAGAAGAAAGAAGTAGTGCTTACAAAATGGAATTTTTGCAAGTGAGGCCTGTATCCACAAAGACATCTCAAAACTTCATTAATACAATACTTAATCAATTGGGTGTTGTTTAATTATTTCTAAAATTGCTGTCTCCTCAAACCAATGAGTTAATAGAAACAATACAAGTAACATACTGATCATTTGTTAAGATGTCAGGAGACATAAGAAGGGCATTTGTTACATCAAAACTAGGTCTTGCCATTATAAATTGCTGCTTGGCTATGGAGAAGATGTGGAGAGCATGATACCTGATACCTGAGTCATCCCAAAAGGAAATGTCAAGGTAGCTGAGAAATGTCTGGAAGAATTCACATGTCTGCATGAGGAGCATCATTTTAAACTAAATATGGTGTCAAATTCTATCTTCATACAGAGATAGGAATGTATTGCATAGACCCTTGGTGAGCATGGTCTCATTTTGTCTTCTGTTGGCTGATGATCACTAGTTGTTTTAGATAGACCCTTGGTGAGCATGGTCTCATTTTGTCTTCTGTTGGCTGATGATCACGAGTTGTTTTAGATAGACCCTTGGTGAGCATGGTCTCATTTTGTCTTCTGTTGGCTGATGATCACTAGTTGTTTTTTAGATAGACCCTTGGTGAGCATGGTCTCATTTGTCTTCTGTTGGCTGATGATCACTAGTTGTTTTAGATAGACCCTTGGTGAGCATGGTCTCATTTTGTCTTCTGTTGGCTGATGATCACTAGTTGTTTTAGATAGACCCTTGGTGAGCATGGTCTCATTTTGTCTTCTGTTGGCTGATGATCACTAGTTGTTTTAGATAGACACTTGGTGAGCATGGTCTCATTTTGTCTTCTGTTGGCTGGTGATCACTAGTTGTTTTAGATAGACCCTTGGTGAGCATGGTCTCATTTTGTCTTCTGTTGGCTGATGATCACTAGTTGTTTTAGATAGACCCTTGGTGAGCATGGTCTCATTTTGTCTTCTGTTGGCTGATAATCACTAGTTGTTTTAGATAGACCCTTGGTGAGCATGGTCTCATTTTTGTCTTCTGTTGGCTGATAATCACTAGTTGTTTTAGATAGACCCTTGGTGAGCATGGTCTCATTTTGTCTTCTGTTGGCTGATGATCACTAGTTGTTTTAGATAGACCCTTGGTGAGCATGGTCTCATTTTGTCTTCTGTTGGCTGATGATCACTAGTTGTTTTAGATAGACCCTTGGTGAGCATGGTCTCATTTTGTCTTCTGTTGGCTGATGATCACTAGTTGTTTTAGATAGACCCTTGGTGAGCATGGTCTCATTTTGTCTTCTGTTGGCTGATGATCACTAGTTGTTTTAGATAGACCCTTGGTGAGCATGGTCTCATTTTGTCTTCTGTTGGCTGGTGATCACTAGTTGTTTTAGATAGACCCTTGGTGTGCATGGTCTCATTTTGTCTTCTGTTGGCTGATGATCACTAGTTGTTTTAGATAGACCCTTGGTGAGCATGGTCTCATTTTGTCTTCTGTTGGCTGGTGATCACTAGTTGTTTTAGATTTTGTCTTCTGTTGGCTGATGACCTAGTTGTTTTAGATAACCCTTGGTGAGCATGGTCTCATTTTGTCTTCTGTTGGCTGGTGATCACTAGTTGTTTTAGATAGGTCCATTTTTGTCTTGTTGGCTGAGATCATGGTTTCATTTTGGTGAGCATGGTCTCATTTTGTCTTCTGTTGGCTGATAATCACTAGTTGTTTTAGATAGACCCTTGGTGAGCATGGTCTCATTTTGTCTTCTGTTGGCTGATGATCACTAGTTGTTTTAGATAGACCCTTGGTGAGCATGGTCTCATTTTGTCTTCTGTTGGCTGGTGATCACTAGTTGTTTTAGATAGACCCTTGGTGAGCATGGTCTCATTTTGTCTTCTGTTGGCTGGTGATCACTAGTTGTTTTAGATAGACCCTTGGTGAGCATGGTCTCATTTTGTCTTCTGTTGGCTGATGATCACTAGTTGTTTTAGATAGACCCTTGGTGAGCATGGTCTCATTTTGTCTTCTGTTGGCTGATGATCACTAGTTGTTTTAGATAGACCCTTGGTGAGCATGGTCTCATTTTGTCTTCTGTTGGCTGATGATCACTAGTTGTTTTAGATAGCAATGAATAGATCTCAAACATAGAGAATGGTAACTTAACTACTTTATTAATATTGACATGTAGTAACTATTCAGTGGAGGTTGTTTCCCATCACTGGAGATCCGTTTCAGGCATGAAAGAGAACACGTCTATATTGATTGACAATTAAGACTTGACTCTCTGAAAAACCTTTCTCTATCTCTTTTCTCGGGCTAGCTCAGCCAATCAAAATTGACTTCCCATATTATGGCTTGCATCTTACCCCAAAGGTCAACCTCAGGAAGTTGGAGCAGAGATACACTTCCTCTAAAAAATAACAGTCTGCTAAACTATTATTTAACAAAAGTACACAGATGTATATTGGATGAATTCATACATGTATATTAAAAGATGAATTCCTATTTATTCTGAAGTATGTTTTATCAATTTTGGCATTGTTCACTATTTTGAATTGGGCAAATGACTGAATAGTTAGAGGGGGGGTTAGCATTCTGAACATGGGACCCAGGTTTGAATCTCATCATTGTCAGAGATGGCTTCTTGACAATCCCAGCAGGTGACACCATTGGAAAGTGTCTAAAAGCATACGACAGGTTCATGCAAGCCTCGTGGGTAAAATTTGGTAAATGATGTTAGATCAGGGTGGCTCAGCTGCTACTAAAAAAACATAGCACAGGTTGATGCAAACACTGAGGGTGAAATTTGTGAGACAATGTTATATCAGAGTATCTTGGCTACTACCAATCATTTTTGTTCTTATTAAACTTATTATTTACTTCCAGTTGGCAAAGCATTCTGGGAAAGCTATTTGTAAATTTTTTTTTTAACAGTTGAATAAATTGAATTCTACTGGAAACATATGCTACTGACTTTTTCATGTGTCATTATTGCTGCCAATAACTAACCCTTGTCCTGATGATATATTTTATATCTTCAGCTTTGGAAAAAGATGAAATAGACAAAACAATTTGGAAGCTGTTGATGGTTGTGCAAGTACATAGTCATAAGTCCTCAACTAATGGGCGGATAGAAGCTCTTTAGTCTTGATTAGTGACCTATCTAGAGATGGTGTCTTGATAAAAAAAAAGCGATCCCCCACTGTCAACTTGGCTACTCACATTTATGCATTGGCCTGAAAATTACACAATGAGTGATATTTTTAAAAAAAGAAACAAAAATGTCACATGAATTTGCCATCTGTCTCCTGTGGAAATAATACATCATCATCGATATTTTGTTACTCAGATCTGATGATCTTATTAATTGAATTGTGCAGAATGTGATTGATTTTAGTCTATTTCCTCTTTTCCACCAAACACTGACATTTACAAAAAAAGACTTCATTAAATATTACAAATATAGAAAAAGTATTAAACTCTTTTCAAAGATTGGGAATTAATAATAAAATAAAATAATTCACAGATTATGTTGGTGATTAAATCTTTTCGATAAGTTACGAAAATCGCTATCACATCATGTTGAAACACCGTAGGATCACCAAAGCTGAGCCTGATCACTACGTAGATGGGTGAATGTTTGGGAATACCAGTTACTGTAAGCTTGGATGTGTAGGTGATGTAGTGATGGCTCAGAATTGTTACTTGAACAGCCAAGTTCCAATTCTGATTGAGTTTGTTATAATCACTTATGTGCAAATAACCTTGGGAAAGGTATGCATCTACCTTTTCTCTCCTCAGCTATGGGTTAATTAGTAACTTGTATCACTAAAACCTTCATTATCTCAAAAAAAAACTTTACAATCTAAAAATATTTCCTGGCTTTAAAGATTAATAAGCTGTAGAAAGCTATATTATAGGTATGGCCTTGTATTAGTCATATTAGCCATTTCTTTATAAGGAAACATTTGACATTCATTGGTCAAGTCAGTGCTGCTGTCAGTTGAAATTTATAAAATCTTGGTTATACAATTTTTAAGGAGAATAACTTTTTCAACTCAAGTAGTTTTTATCAGTTTTTCCAGTATTGATGGTGATTTCCTTTCTATCCTTTTGTTTGAAGTAGTGTGCAACATCAACATTTTGATTATGTCATAATTTTCTCTTTGATTTGTTGTTGCTGCTTTTAAAAGTCCTAAAGTGATGGGGTTTCTGGAATTTGGTACAGTTCTTTATGATTCTGCAATGCCAGTCCACAATGTTCAGAAAAGGATGATCTTCACCAAGATCCACACACTTCCCTCACCCAAAGCTATTTTTAACTGTTGATCTTAGAAAGCATTGTATGCAGCTGAGTGGGTTTAGCACCATGCATGACATCCATATGAAGGTCTCAATGCGACAAGGCTATTTAAGAACATCACTATCAGTATAAAGAAACATCCCTACCTTTCAAATTCAAATGCTTTGTTATGCTTTGAGGTCTGCACACAAATATTTTCCTGCAAAAAAAAAAAAAAAAAATGTTTTTGTAAATTATATTTTGAAAAATGTTCTAATATCTACATTTAGTAAATCAATTCCAAATTGGAGCAGGCAGCATATCTGTCATCAGTGAAGAAAGGAGAATCTGTGAACTAAGTTCAAATTCTGCTATAGCCTGTTGCATTCACTTTCATAAAAGTTGGGGAAGTTATCTCTTTGTTTCTAGCTGTGGATTAAATAGTCGAGTAGATTTGACTCTCTTACAGTAAGACCTCCACACTTGAATATGAGACGGTACACTCAAGAAGAATTAGCAAAAATCTTAAAACATCCATAAAGTTTTATATATTCATCCAAGAGTTCAACACTCTTGGCACATCATTTCTCAAGTTTCTTGAACCCTTCTTCCCAAATTTCAATGTACCTGAGCAGGCATTTGCAACAGGGATTAGCAAGCCACCCTTTCAAATGGGTACATTCAGAAAGGAGCAGACATTATTATTATGATTTGTGATTATCTGTTTTGTGTTATTACATAAGCAGGTGCATTAGAATAGCAAAAGATGCTTTCCAAAAGGTATGCAAAGTATTAAGAAATAGGAAATTTTCATAAGAAAAAAGAAAAGACTGGTGAACTGTTATGCTATATCTAATCTTCTAATATGGTAGTGAATCTTGGACAATCTTCTCACAGATGAAGAAGAGACTTGAAGAGACAGAAATGTTGTTCTACTGAGAAATGTTGAGAAAACCATGGACATATGTAACAGGTTGCTGACCCTCATTCAATATTTAATTGCATGAGAAAGTAAAATGGTGATATGGAGTGATTAAAAATTAGAAATAAACTGCAAAAACTCTCCTAGGGATCTCTTAAATAATTAAGAGGAAAATGGGAAAAGAAATGGAGAACTTAACTTAAATCAAACATATAAAATTAAGTTGATGAGAATCAGAGAGAGTTGAAACCTGAATGAATCTGGTGAAAAGTCATTAACCTTGGAATTTTTCATGGCTGGTCATCTCTCTCTGTCTCTCCGATAAGGAAAATATTTGCTTGGATTTCTGAGCTAAAATCTGATCTGGGAAGGATAAATTTCTTAATACTGCCATGCTAAACCATAAGGTATTTCTCATTAACAATTGGAAAAATATTGTTTTTGCATAGGCCTTTTGTTTTTAGGGGCATGTACCCATTGAGATAATCCAGATGAAGGTAGAAATTTTTACATATGTCAATGTCAAGACGGCAATGGGGTGCCCAGGAGGGATCATTTATATAAACCAATAAAGCATTTGGCTTCATTAGTCACTGGTGGATCTCAAGACAATGTGCTAAAAAAATCCATCTTGCTCAAAGACAAGAGCACACACACATTCTGTGGATGGAATATGCACACAGATACAAAGGAATGGAATTGTGGCAGATTCCTACAATTGTCAATAAAAACCAAGATGAGAATTGAGTGGCAGGGAAAAAAATAAGAACTGCTATAATTTGGTGAAAGCAAAAACCAAACCCTCAGAATATTTAGAATCAGAATTTTGCTTTGCAGATGTGTAGACAACAAATGTTGGTGTAATATTTCTCATCAGTAAATTATTGTTAGGTTTTCTGAAGTGGTCATTTGTCTTGAAGAGATCTCCCACCTAGCTTTAATGTTGAGTAGCAGCTTCACATGCTCCACATGAGAAAAAATTACCACACTCCCTGAAAGAAGTTAATAACTCCTCTGTGGAGACACAATAAACCATTAGACAAGTGAGTAACCTACTCAATGGGTTTGTGCAAATCTTTCACAGAACCAGGACAAGACAAAAGACAGGAAGTTGTGGAGAGTCGTTATTGTCCATATCCTAAAAGTTCTTGACACATAAAAGAAGTTTTATGGTATGACTAGTTTTGTGTGACTACTACTTTTTGTGATTGTTATTTTTGTTAAAGGAACAGTTATAATAATACAGAAGGATACAGGTGCTTATCTCTTTTTGGTTGAGATAAGTCATGTGGGTCACATGACAACCCCTTAGTGACATCACTCCATACAGTGACAAGCATGGCAGTCAAATTCAGTTTGTTTACAGCAGCCACCATGTGAAATTGCCAAGGGGCCCAGGCTGAGGCTAAATCTGACTCCCGAGCAGTTTATAATACCATGATGCCATTTCCCTTTGGAAATATATCTTTCCCAGATGTAGAATAAAACTCCAGCTTACAGTCCTCAATTCGGGAAACCCGACTCGCTGTTTCCTATTCGTGGAATAAGTCCTTGCCTGGAACATAGATGAATCTGGAGTCCTAAAAATTGCTTCTCCAGGTACAGATGTATCTCCATATTATATGTAAGGCCATTCCTTTTTGTTTCTCCTTACACTCTGCCTTGCCATATAGATATATGTGATATATTATTCTCTGCGTGGGACATGTTTATATATGTATATACAGTTTTGTGTCTGTCTTTGTGAGATAAGAGTCTCATGTTTGTCATTCTTTTTCCTTTCAGCCATTCTGTTCCATCCCTAAACTAAAGTGCTGTTATATCACGCCTATAATAATGCCCATAATGCGGGAAACATAAGTGAGAGAATAAATATTTCTATCATTGCTAAAATATTTCTATCATAATGAGGAAAGAGGGATTGGAGAATTTGACAATTAAAGTACATATTAAAGGTAGAGGTAAACAGTGAGTAACTTACTTAATAAGCTTGTGTAAATGGATGACAGAACAGTGACCCAGAGTGATGGTGAAAAGACAAAACCTTGCTAAAAGATGCAAAGGATAAAATGTGGAGAGCCATGATTGTTCACATCTTGAAGAGATATGACACATGGAAAAAGGGTTTTTGTGATTACTATTTGTGTGTGATTACTAGTTTGGTGTGATCATTATTTTTGCAATTACTGTTTTTGTAAATACAATCAAACTTTATGTGTAATGAGAATACAAAGATATCAGTATTAAGCATGAAGGGTTTAAAGTACATAGACTCTTCTCTCTTTTTAAGTGTCATTTCTTAAGACTTTTTGGTATCTCTCCTACACATTGTTTTGCCATCCATTTACACAAGAACGTACTTATTCTTCTTTTATGTGGCATGTCCTTTCAGGATGTTAGCAATCATGGCTCTCCACAATTTCCTTTCCTTTGTAGCTCTTAGTAAATTTTGTATTTTTGTTATCTCTCCTGAAGCCTGTTCTGTCATCCATTTACACATTATCATTCTTCTTCTTTTTCTTCTTCTATGTGCTATGTCCCTTCAGGATATGGATGATCATGGCTCTCCACAATTTCTTCTCCTTTGTAGCTCTTAGTAAATTTGGTCTTTTTGCTATCTCTCCTGAAGCTTGTTCTGTCATCCATTTACACCTGATCATTCTTCCTTTCCATTCAGGATATGGATGATCATGGCTCTCCACAATTTCCTTACCTTTGTATCCTTTATGAAATTTGATCTTTTCACTATTTCTCTTAATCCCTGTTCTGTCATCCATTTTCACAAATTTGTTAGGTAGGTTATTTGCTGATTTCTTCTGACCCTCAGGCTTTCAATATGTCCTGTGAGTGTCAAATTTTCTAAGTCCTCTTTCCTCATTATATGCCCTAGAAATTTCAAATGTTTCTTTTGATGTTAAGTAAAAGCATGTCAATTCTGTCTTCTCTCCTCCTCCTTCATTGGCTTAAATGTTGTTAAAAAAGCAATAAATTGTTAATCTCTGAAACTTTGCAAATATATAGATTACATTGAAAGATTAGTTGAAATCAAATCACTTTCAGAAATGAACACACAATACTGATATCTATTGTGATATTGAATAATTTTATCTTTTTACACAATTTTCTCAATAAAAATCATTAATTTACTTACGTCATCCACATAGTGTACAACTGCTTGAGATTTTTCAGTGCAACTGTAAAAAGAAAATAAAGAAAAGATTTTAAAAAATATCTTAAAAAACATTTCCTCATTTCACACCAATTATGACAACCTTACATTTTTCAGAAATGATTATTCTTTTTTTTGTCAAAGACATTTGCTTATTCAGACACAAGACAGGCTTAGAAGTGCAATTTATTCAATATATAAACAGTGAAGATAAGTTGGCAGTTATCCAAATAATGATAACATTTCATCTCATGTTTACAATATTTATGAGTTATTTATTACAGTCTTAATTTATCATTGGGAGATAAGTAAAACAAGGTTGAAAATTACAATAAATTCTTAAAAAAACCCTCCATATACATATTTCTTGCACTACACCAGGAGGCTTCATACATGCTGTTTATTTCTAGTGTCATTGGGATTTGGGGCCTCTAAAGACATCAGACTCCTTTCACAGGTGACCTAACCAGGAATGATCACCTCCTGGTCAGCTTCTCTTATTTGAATCCACAAAATATGGCCTGAACTTATATTGTCAAAATTCAACCAATGAATAATGGTTTTACAATTACTGCTGTCTTTGTTTGCCTATGTGAAGATGCTAAATTCTTCACAGGGCTGGTGCATTCTACTTCTGAACCACAATCCCCACCAAACCCGATTTGATTGGGGACTCTGGGCAGTGCTTTGTGACCCTTGCCATCTTATCAACATTTTATTTTTCTACCTACATTTATATACATCACAAATTAAACTAAGCACAACTGACTATTAAAGGATGAAAAAATTTTTGTGGATTTTGACGTCATTCTGTTTTGTTTTTTTCATCCAAATCTGTGAATTGTTTTGGTTCATGCTAAGGCTAAAGAAAAACAACATATAAAATTCATTGTTTTTTATCCATAATGTTGAAGTTGCTAAAATTATTCAACTCTTTAACAACAGAAATGTCAAGTTGATGTTAAAAACTGCCACAAAACATTGTTGATTTATTTAAGATTGAATGATCTACTATGATAATGTCTCTAATTTATATTTTGATATGTTGTATTTATTTGCAATTTTTCTAGTTGAATTGTTTACCTATATCTATTATTGTACATAATTAGGTTACAATAAAATTTGTATTTTATATGAATACTACCTAATGAAAATTGAGAAGCAGTAGAGTAGGAGCCCCATATCATAGATGGGTGGGGGATGGGGCCCTTGCAATAGCCCGGATTTTTCTACCATTTTTCTCCAATCAAAACATATATCATTTGACCATTCATTAATTTGTCTTTATGTTAATTTCTTAGACATTTCTTAATAACAATAATCATGTAAGAATAATAACTTTAGGCTGATTCATGTCTAATAGTAATTATTGTACTTTGCACCAAATTTCTGATCCAGTTTAATTCTGGTAAGCAGTCAGTAATTATAGCATTCAATATCAAGAGATAAAGCATTAATAATTTTCTAAATAAATAAACAGTAAATTCTATCTATCTGTCCGTGTGCTGAAAACCCTCTAACTCAGGCCACCCTTGCTCTATATAGATATATCTTTTTAGACTCAGGATGATCCTGGGATTGAAAATCTGTCCTTCATCTGGTACTTGAAAATCAAGCATTGGGATTTGTATCCTGACGAGGAGGAACAGTTAAAATTTTAAAATAACTGAAAAAAATTAGTGATTTAAATCTTTTAAAAATTTATATTGAGTTCAAAGTAAAACAAAAATTCTGTGAATTTAAAAATTTTTGTTTTAAATTTAGTTTAAAATATCTCCAAAACTTTGTGAATTGTGGAAATCAATTTTATTCGTTCAAAATGCCATTGAATCAGAATTAAAGTGAGAGGTTTCATTATGTGAGTTTTTGAAGTTCAACAGAGTTTGTGATTTGAAGAACTCAATTTTTGGCTTTAACTGGAATTAACAGATTTATAGCCCCTAATCGGTCATTTGGTTGGAATTGGATTTATAGCCCGAATCAGATTTAAAGTGAGGTTCTGAAAGAGTGAATTAAGGAATTCAAATTTATTTCTTCAAAATTATCATTGCTGTTTTCTAAGGTGGACCAGAGGTCTCTTTAGTTTTAGGCCAAAGGCAATTTGTTTTCTGTAGAAGTTAAGATAGTAGTACTAAATAAAATAGATCATTTTTTCACCTAGCTTTCACATATTTACTCTGAGTTCTGAAGAAATGAATCCAATCTTCTTGATAGTAAAGCGGATTTATTTCAAAAATCTTATTTTCCTTGTAAGATGTTATTCTATGACGTAAAGTTATTTCATTTTGTTCTTCCTCAAAACACATTATTTTATGACAAACTTATTTACATCTTTTTGGTTACATTTATTAAACAGTAATGTGACTTTTGAGGTGAATTTATAATTTATTATTTATTATTTGGATAAGAATACATGAAAATTGAGTAAACTGTTAATTTAGTAATAATAATGAAAATAATATGCCAAGGATTTTTATACCAATTCTCGTACACTCGCTGAAGTTAAGCAACACCGAGCCTAGATGGGTGACCATTTGGAAATACCAGGTATTGCAAGTTTGTATGTGCACGTGGTGTAAAGGATAATGGCCTGTTATATTCACTTTCATGCAAATAACATTGGGAAATGTATATACCCACCTCTTCTCCTCCAAGTTATGGATTAAATAGTAAGACATGTAACAGTAAATCATTATTAGTTAAAAAAAAATTCTTAAGGGAGAAGATATAGAGTCAAACCTTAACTAAGGCCATTTGCACAAAAGTGAATGTAATGAACATGACTGGGCCAGTCCTCATTACAAACGAAGCAACTATGAGACCTCTTGTCAAATATTCGATCTGATCCAATGTTTCTTAACAAATTATGTAATAAAAGTTTTGATGAACAGCCACTCTTCTCAACCATTTCTCATTAATGCAGGGATGTCCAAGGGCTCTATCCTTAGACCTACTTCATTCAATGACCTTCCCAATGCCATCAGTTAACAACTCAGTATTTATATTGATAACACAACTATTTATTCTTATCTTAATAGTAATTCTGATAGGTTTTAATCTGTTAACTGAGGCAAGAAATGTCAATTTTAAGGCCTCCAAAATGGTACTGCTAGCCTTTATTCATCTTAATGAACCATTTTTGACTTCCACATCCCTTTTGCATTCTTGATCTCTACGTTTTCCATTGATATGAAGTGGAATGATTCTGTTGAATCAATTGCTAGGTCTGCTGCAAGGACTGGTGGTTCACTGGATTCTGCTAGACAATTTTTCTAATCAGAATCCATTGTGGACATTCATATTCAACCGCACATTGAATATTGCTACCATCTCAGGTCTGGTGCTCCTATTATATATCTTGAGATTCTTGACAAAACCCAAAGAAGAATCTGCAATATTATTAGTCCCAAGATGGCATCATGGCTTTTGTCACTTTCCCACTGCTAGAATGTAGCTTGCCTGTACCTTCTTGATAAATATTTTCAGGGCAAGTTCTAACAAGCTTTTCTCTTTGGTATCTCAACCTTGTGATTTGAAGTGCAGCACTGGATTGGAAAGTAGGTCTCATCATTTTACTATTGAAATAGCTAGATGTAACCCTAAGTCATATTTTCATATTTTCTTTTCTCGCAATTCTCACCTGTGCAATCCTCTTCCAGTTTCTTGCTTCCCTACCAAATACAATATTCAAAAATTAAAATTTATTTTTTGTTTTACAGAACCCCATTCTTTTTCTAATGTTTTCTCAGTCTCTTTCACACTCAGTAATCCATTGCATCCTAGTGGCTTTATTGCCTTACTTGGTGTAAGAAGGATTAGAAAAACAAATGCAGCACTTCAATTTCTTGTTTTATTCTACACTATCCAGACATCAACATATTAATATAATAATAATAAAAAAAATATATCTAAAGACTAACATATGAAAACCTCTGAATAATAGGGCTTATGTTGTTTTTTTTTTTTTAAGCTAGTGTATGTAATAATGAACAATGTGACTTTGTACATTTCTTTGTTTCTATGTTTGAAGAACTCAAATAGACGATAGGTTTTCAGTAATTCTGTGTGTTGAGTGGTGGTGGTGTTGTACAATAGACTGACATTCTTATGCAAATATCCTGGTTTCTTTTAATGAACAGTTTCCTCAGTCTGTTTAGTGATTCACAGTATCTGATTCTGTTATAATAGTCTAGCCATGCTGTATGAAGTCCATGAGTCGTCACTAACTTCTGAATGCTTTATTGAAATTCAACCTTTGTTTTCATAGTGACATGATGCCCTCAAGTCTCATCATAGGCAATCATGTACTCCAGAAAATCCCCCCAGCTCCCCTATCTTCTATGTTCGTGTGAGTGATCATAGCTCTCCACAACCTCCTATCCTTTTTAGCTCTTCACAATGTTTGCCTTTTTACTATTCCTCATTTCTTGTTCTGACACAAGCTCATTATGTAGGTGACTTGTTTCTCTTCTGTCCCTCTTGCCGTTAGTCTATCCTGTGAGTATCAAATTTTCCAAGCCTTCTTTCTTGATAATGTCATTTATTTTTTTGATTCAAAGTATCAATGTCTTTTTGTTTCCATTTTCCTTAAAACATCTTCATTGTTTATATGCTTCATCCATGGTATTCTTAACATCTTTCTATAGCACTATACCTATGTTGATTCAAGTATCCTCTTCATCTTGGAGAAAATTGCCCAACATTTACTGCCATATAGGAGTACTGACATTAAACAGTATTTCAGCACTCTGCTTCTAAGAAAATTTTTCCATTTCTTAATACTTTGCTTCATTTTTGGAAGGCATCTTTTGTTATTCTAATGAGCATTCAGATTTTGGCATCATCTGTTTAAACACTTCCCAGGGATTTAAATTTTAGTACTTGTTTGATTTCTCCCATTTGTAGGTCACATCTTAGGCTGTTCCTCTTGCTGGCAACAATGCATTGTGTGTTCTTGCAATTGACCATTCCAAGCCTAGAGAGCTCAGTCTGCAATGAAATGGAACCCATACCTGGGAATGGAGAAAGAAGACATGGATTCATGCCTCTTGAAAGAAAAAAAAAAACATTACTGC